AGTGCTGGCGTTCTGTCGAGAACGCTGACCTAGTATCTGCGTTTGCGCTCAGACGGGATTAACGAGGAAACCGGCATTTTTTTAACAAAGTATTTGTTTGTAATTGTTAATTGTGACCGTTAATAATATGACGTCCATGGCAGTAAATGATGGTTGGCATATTATTAATGGTCACAATTAACAATTTAAACTAAATACTTTGTGAATAAATCCCACTCGATAATACTTGTCTGTGCGCAAGCGCAGATGCTGAGGTCGTCAAATTCGACTACGTCGGTTTCTCGACTGAACACCGGTATCTGCGTTTAGTATCAGGGCATTCTCACGGGTATGAGTACTCGTGAAAATGCCCAGTATTGGCAGTGGTGCATCCCTACTTAAAAATGTAATGCATTGCTGGGACTTGTAGTCCTACATAGTTGGTACTATTCTGCATAGCTGTATAATCATCAGACAGCAATGCAGAATACCACCAGCTATGCAGGACTAAAAGTCCCAGCAATACATTATAATAAAGGTCAGCTATGCAGAATACCACCAGCATCACCGTTTTAAATCCCCCCCACTCCCCCCCCCCCCCCCCCCTCTATAAAGCATTGCTTGGACTTGTAGTCCTGCATAGTTGGACGATTATTACATTATAATGATTATACAGCAATGCAGAATACCATGAGCTATGCGGGACTACAAGTCCCAGCAATACGAATACAATACAATAATATGAAAAACAAGCACTGCAGAATACCACCAGCATCCCCCCCGAGGCCCCCCTTCCCGGTCCAGACTTACCTCCCCTCTCCTGCAGGACCTTCTTCCTCGTCTCGGCGGCCAGGGGGCGGGGCTAAGAGGAGAGGGTCCTCGCACGGCAGAATGTGCTGCCTGGCAGTGCCTGCAGCACATTCTGCTCCACTACTGGCTGTTAGCTTCTCCATCCCCGCCGCACAGCCGCCCATACATGCTGCGGGTGGCAGAGCAGCGGGGAAGGAGCGGCACGATCTCGGGGGGGCCTCTTCTTCCTCTCTGGGCCCCCCCAGCAGGCGGAACGCCAGGGCCTGGTCGTAATTGCGACCGCTGTGACCCTGGTAGTTCCGTCAGTGGGTAGAGGTGAAAACTGGTCTAAGCACAGAACCAGCTGCTGGAAAAGTACAGGTCTCAATTTTTATGTCTACCGGGTCCTTAGATGATGCAGAATCGGCAACTGGTATAACTGTTGCCTTGATAAAGTGATACTAAACTCAGGAGATAAATCTTAAAAATGCATTCAAATGTAGCTTCTTTGTGCATCACTCTGTGGTAGATACTCAGATCATCTCTGAATTTGTGCTGACATTGTTCTTCTCTTTGAAGGATGGTTACTTTTGTTCTGCATGGTTCCTGTGTGTATGTTGTAAACAGTTTTTGGAATGAGGATATTCCCGCTCATTAGTTAAGTGAGCATATGAGGAAGTTTGTAGAATCCCTGGGGTGGACTCACTTAGTGATATCAGAAGAAAAGAGAGTAATGAATATCATATAAAGAGTAATGGTACACCCACTGTCTTCTACACGTTATAGCCTTAAGTTTGAGGAGATCAAGAAAATTCTAAAGACATACTTACCTATTTTGCAGGGAGATTTGGATTTTAGGAAAATACTTGATTCGGATATACAGTTTATGACTAAACGAGCACCTACAATAGGTAATATCCTTTCTCCTTGCCTTTTTAAATCTCAAAGAAATAAGGACAATCGAGGGAATTGGTTAAAAACTACTGGCATGTATAAATGTAATTCCTCCTGGTGCTCCAGTTGTGACTTTTTAGGTGACGCACATAGGATAGTTTCCTATACTAACGGGACTACTTTTAACATTAAACAGTTAGTTAACTGCCAAACCAGATTTGTAGTTTGTTTTTTCTTGCATAATCTGCAATAAACAGTATGTTGGAAAAACTACTAGGCATTTATGTGTTCGTATTTTGCGAGCGCCATAATGGTGACACAGGGACTATGAAGATTCAGGTTATAGAAAGAGTTTAAAATCCACCTAGAGGAGAAGACAGGTTATCTTTACTGTCACAATGGGAGGTACACTGGATTGTACTGACCAGAACAAACTGAAGGGTACAGACAGCACATGAGTAAAACAGGCAGTGGAGGTTCACCAGAGTCAGCATAAGGTATAAGACATACAACCATCATTAACACACTTTCAGGTATAAGACATACAACCATCATTAAAGAAGCAGTCAGCAAGAAAAAGCAAGTGAGGCCCTTTCAGAAACCTCTGCACTAGAACTGACTGCAAGCTTTTAACCTGAACCCCTGGAGCTGCAAATTATGTTAACAAGGTTAGAGCATTACCTCTTTGTCCCTGGAGAATCATAGCAAAAACATTCAAAGGAGATGAAATTGCCGGGATTCTTTGTGTCCCCAGATACAGAAAGAAGTGTAACAGTGGAGTGGAGCAAAAGTCTAAAGAAGTAGCTTGCAGGATTGCTCCCATGCTACAAAGAATGCTCTGGCACAATCTCCTCTTGCCTCTCGGTAGCATTATACCAGGGAAAAACATGTCCTGGCTTCAGGAAACTGACTAAGGAACAAAGATTCCTCCCTGTCTTAAAGAAGTTCCTAGGTGAGGAAAATGGTGTTGCAAACATTAAAATGCAGTGTAACAGAGGGGAAGGAGAGAGAGCATCTGTCTCATTAGAACGTTGTTTATGAACATAAAAACAGAGATAGAAAAACAAACCCATACCCATTTGAAATTTAGAGGACCAGTATAATGCGGAGTTACAATGTGGTTACTAAAGTGAATCTCCGGATCTGATACTGCCGTGTGACACCAAGGAGTACAGTAGCTGCTGCAGTGAATCCCTGGATCTGGAGGTACAATATGGCAGCTGTTGATACATGATTGTTTTCAGTCTCAAAGTCTTGATTCAGCAGAACTAAAGAGAAATATTCTACGTTCTTTGGACACGAACAGGGTTATTCACAAAAGAGTGAAGAGTTTGGGGAGGACAGGAGAAGTGAACAATCTAGGCCAAATAGCTGATTTGGAAAAATTATCAGATTCAGCTCACTTTCCGGTTCAGCTATGTTGTCCTAGATTGTTCACTTCTCCTGCCTTCTCCAAACTCTTAACCCTTTTGTGAATAACCCTGCAAGTGTCCATTTACATCTGTGCTTTATATTGTGGTATGTCGCGCTTTAACACGTGATAAGGCAGCCTATTCATTTGAATGGGCTGCCTAGTGCACTAAAATGCAAAAAAATGTGCATGGTCCAATTTTTTGCAATGCAGTGGACCACAATGCACAGCAGTGTGTTCGCATGGGTTCCAGTGCGCTGCAACGTATCTGCATTGGGAAGGTGTGTTGGGGTACTGAAGGTACACCAATGCACATAAAGTGCATCAACAGAACGCAACAGTTGCCTACTCGTGTATGTGTGGGATAATAGTCACTTGGAGGAGCTGTTCCTTTAATTTACCTAGTGATTAACCTCCTAGAGGCAGAGCATATGTCCAGAGGTCTGCTGTACCCAACAATGAATCATAGAAGAAAAAGTATTTGGCTATGAAAGAAACAAATGACCACACTCTATGGGGTCTATTTATACAATTTAAAGAGCGATTGGCCCTGCAAATCTCTGTGTCAGGGTACCATGCACAGGCGTCCTCACACCACATGTAGGTACCCACGCAGGATGACCAAATTAATATGCCCACACTGGATAGGGTTATATGCACACAGTTTATTTGTTACAAAGCAAACAAAACTACAAACCACCTCAACCCCCACAGGTTTAGCAGTGAAGTAACAAAAACCACAGTTGGGACAAACACACCTACAGCCAGGGGGAACAGCAACAAGGAGGGGTAACAGGACAGCAGGCCTCAGGATATAGGAAGAGTGGTCAGGTACAAGCCGGGTAGTTAACAGGAGGGCAGCGCGGTACAGGAACAGGATTCAAGGAGAGTGGTCAGGTAACAAGCCGGGTCGTTAACAGGTTTGCAGATGGGTTCAGGTAGCAGGGTTCAGGTAGCAGGGTTCAGGTAGCAGGGTTCAGGTAGCAGGGTTCAGGTAGCAGGGTTCAGGTAGCAGGACATGGAAATCAGTCAGGTGCAGGCGACGCAATACTGAGCCAACTTCCTGACTGCAGGGAGGGCCTAAATACCCTCCCGGGAAGCACCAGGTGATGGGATGATCAGTCACAGCTGGGGCACACCCGCAGGTGAGTACTGGAGCTGCAGGTTCCTGACAGTTCCTGGCTGCTGGAAAAACCAGCAGACGAGCACAGGAACTGCAGGACCTGGCTGCTTGAAACACCCGCAGGTTTTGTGCGAATAGATGCACAAAAGGAATGTTCTAAATTTTCCCGCAGGTTTTGTGCGAATAGATGCACAAAAGGTATGTTCTACATTTTCTTTACAATTCAAATGTACAGTATTATTGGATATCATCTTGTAACAATGCATTATGAACACTACATAGCACCAAGGTGCAGAGAAAAAAAATATTTATTTATATATAAAGCAAATATAAAAGAACATTAGTTTTGTGCATTAATTCGCACAGTACATTTACAGAGATTCACAGGGCCAATGGCTCTGCAAATTGTTTATAAATAGACCCCTAAGTGTCAAGCTACTTTAAAACAACTGACTTCATATTGTAGCTGCTTAGCAATTGCTTTGAGAATGTGCATTCGGGGTAGTTTTTAGTAATGGTTGAATTATTAAACTAGGATCGCTCTTTGAAAATATGTGCACTAAAGCCCAGTCAAGTTTAAAAAAAATATCACACAACAATATAAATAAAACTGTAATTTCGTCAGGCAAATAATATATATATCTTTACCATGCTTCCACTTAAACACTTATTTCTTAGTATAAATAGTTGCTCTTGTGTATTCTAAAAAAACAACAACAATATGGAAACTTCCAACATACGTGGTGTAGGTAGACCTATCATCATCAATCATATATCAAAATTACAGAAGTCCCACTTGCCCACCTGCCATTTACAGGCCATGTACGTGTTACATCGCTGACGTATCCTGATGTTTCACATCCACCATCCAGCAGAACCATTTCTCCATCCTAAAGACAAAAAACCCAACATTTTAAAAAAAAATATTTGTTAAGTGTTTTTAATTATAATCTTTAGTTTTTATTCATCCTATACAGTACTTATTGTAAAAAAATTAAACTGAAGTAAAAATTTATTTTAGTTTCTCTCTTATTTCCAGTCTGATATAGAGATTGCATGCTCAAAATAATAGGATTTATGTACTCACCGTATTATCCTTTTCTTGGAGTCCATTGTGGGACACAGGAATTCTTAGACTGTCAGGTTATACTGCCGCCTACAGGAGAAATGGACACTGATGGCAAAAAAGCCATTGGCCAGCACATGATAACCCCGTCTACAACCATCATGTCTTAGTTTAGTAGCAAAGTAGTACTGAGCATGAAAGAAACACTGAGGATGGGGAACCTGAGCTCCTTGATGGCCTTCAAGGAAAGTATTCGTCATTAAAACAATCAAAATTTCTTTATCCTCAATTGAGTGACAAAGGGATTTTTACACTGTCAGCATGTCCAAAAGCAGCCCAACAGGGAAGTTGGCAACATAGCAATAAAGGCTAATAAGGCTCAAGAAGAGACAACAGAAAAATGGGGACTGTCTACGGCTCAAGAGCCACATAAGGTACCTAACACTGGAAGCTGGCAGTAGCTTTGTAAACTGGGAAAAGTTGCATAATGCTGAACAGAGCAAGAAGCACTCACAGATCTATTAGAGTGTGTCCTGATAGGACAGGGTGGTATCCGATTAAAAGTATATTTTTTGTGCAGCCAAATTGGGATAACACCTATTTTATATTTGTTACATGTTCCCATTCACATAGCATACTCTAAAAAAAAATTTACTTCCTGCAGTTTAAATTGCTTTTACGTGGGCTATGGTTGCTTGGCTTCTTAAGGGTTAAAATGTCTGCTTGCTTCTCCTTCTCTTTAATGTTAGGAGGGGCTGTGAGGGGTACAACACTGGCTTCACCATTCAAATGTTAATGAAGTTTATGAGAGAAATATAATCCTCAAATTTTAGTCCTAAGGCTTCATTCACACTTGCATTTTTGTCCTCTATATGCAAAGGAAAATTTGTCAGGCTAGATGCTGGGTTTATGCTTCTAGGTGTTTTAAATTACATGTGTTTACATGCATATGCATTTAGATGCATCTGGTACCGCATCCTAGTATCAAAATGGCATGCGTTTTGACACATTCAGAGATTCAAATCGATTCCTAGATGCACCTGACTTTTTTTTTTCTTACAACACAGATAAAATGACTGCAAATAAAAGCATCTAGATGCAAGGTGTGAATGAAGCCTAAGTCTTTCTATAAGGACAGATCACTGTGAAGGTGTTCAGAAAAATCTGGAATCAGCCACATGCCTGCTGCAACAAAACATCTAAAAAAGGGAAGAAATATTTTTTGGTATGCTGTGTGAATAGGTACACATAACAAACATATAGAAGGGTTCTCTCAAATTTGACTGCAAAACTGGAAATATACTTTAAGACCATAAGTTTGAATAATGGTCTGCCTGAGTCACCAAGAGGTGGTGAAGAGAAAAGCCAGTGTACCCTTATGGGGTCATTCTGGAAAACAAAAGGAATCAGCCTTTCTGAAGAAGCAGTGGTTGAAAGATAAGACTCACGGCCTGAACCACATACAGACAATGGGGGGAAATTTCCTTTGGTGAACTGAAGCCAGACAGGGGGATGGGAGAAAAATAATCGAAGTGAAATTCAAAAGCCGAGGTGAAAGGCAAAAAAATACCTAGGCAAGAAGGAAGTCCTGGGCCTCAACTCCTCCTCTTCCCTAAACAAGAAGGGGTACACTGCAGGATAAGGCGGCTAGTTCAGACACTTGCCTCATAGATGTGATAACTACAAGAAACACCACCTTGTCATTTAGAGTAGAGAGAAGAATGTCTTTAATGGCTTCATGCGATGATCTCTGAAGCGCAGAGAGAACCAGATTCAGATCCCACAGATTCAAATGGGGAACTAGAAGGGAGACTCATGTATAGAGGTCTAAATCAAGGAATGAAGGACCAACAGTTTCTTAAACAATATAAACAGGGTAGAAACCTGTGCTGAGAGCCAAATGCTGGTCCAGACACAGCTTCAGGAAGGAGATGATTTGTCCCATGGATTAACTCCTAGGGTGGAAGTCCCGTGACTTGTACCAAGTGAAGTATGCCTTCCATGTCTGATGATAATCCTTACTAGCATCATAGGAAACACACATTCAGAGATGCCCTGGCTCAAAAAGAAAACCAAGTCTTTAATAATCATTCTGTTAAAGCCAGCGGCTATGAAGTAAAATGGCAAAATGGTCTTTGGGACAGAAGATCCTGATAATCTGAGAAAGCCCACAGATCATTTGCCAGTAGTCTTACCAGGATGGGGGTAACATCATCCACCTGGGCCAGTCCAGAGCAGTGAGGGTCATCAAAATGTCCTCTATCTCAATCCTGCAAGGCAGACGAGGAAGACATTTCAGGGGATGGAAAATTATAGATCAGGGTATACTGATCACACAGAGTCACTGGAGCATCCAGTGCTTCTGCTAGAGGATCCCTGTACATGGAGACAAGCCTGTCTATTTTGTCACTAAACCTGGATGCTCGAAGGTCTACAATCAGGGTTCCCCACCTGCAACACAGGACCTGGAACACCATTGGGTGTAGGGACCGCTCCTCTATGTCCAGATGCTTGCCGTTGAGAAAGTCTGCCTGCCAACTGGCAGAAAATGCAGGAACTTGAAATTTTGCTCAGGACAGGATCTTAACCCTGTCTTGCCACAGTGAGATGTTTGATTCCTCCATGAAGATTGATATATGCCACTGCTGCAGCATTGTCAAACTGAATCCAGATTGGATAATCTTCGGACATTATAGTAAAACGCTGCAGTACAGCCAAATCACCAGAAGACCCAGGGTGTTGATCGGGAGAAGAGACTCTGACAAGCACCCCTGCATTAACAGGGTGATCAAGACTCCATCCCAGCCTGACAGGCTGGTATACGTCGTAGGTAACTTCAAGAATATGCAAATTAAGGAATTGCTTAATTTTACAGCTGGCTTCCTAAAATACCAGGCCAGAGTCAACCTGGTCCTTAGTGCCAAACAAATCGATCTATCCAGGGACCTGACTGACATGTCCCAAGACAACAGATCATAGCGATGTAGAAAGTCAAGCAACTCCTGGACTGAAAAGCTTGAATTCATGACCAGAACGTTTGAAGTTTCTCCTGTGGAACACTTTGACTTAGCTGTGTCCAGGACTAGACTTCAAAAGATGAGTCCTTTCCAGCGACTGAAGGTTCAGAATCCAACCGAACTGCCAAAACGTCTGAACAGGTCCAGGTCACGTTGTCCTAAAGAAGCCCACGCTGATGGTTCCCTTAACAGTAGGTTGTCCAAGTATGCCACAATGGGGGCTTCAGTAGAGTGAACTAGGGCTAATAGTAGAGCTAACACATTGGTAAATACTCAAGGTGCAGGTGAGAGGCCAAAAGTCAGGACTATAAACCAGTAGCGGAGGGGTCCCACAGCAAAACCTGTGGAACTCTGGCATATGTGACTAGGACATGTGACCATGCACATCATTTCAGGGGAGGAAAATTCATTTCCCTGATATCTTGTGAGATTACAGATGAAATTTCCCTGCAATGCTCTGATGATGTAATCTTCCCAGGATGCAATATTTGGGCACATAATTTGTGCCCAAGTGGACCAGTAAGTAGAAAAAAGAAACTGTAGATAAAATCAAAATATGTTTGTTTAACTAATGAATGTAAGATGGTTTCATATCAGAATGCAAAGCTTTCTACTATATATAGCCATTGAGGGGTTCTATATGCCCAGCATAAGCTAAGTAATTGTGTAAATCTTCTAGGGGAGAAGAGTGAGAACATGGGAAATGTCTGGAATATAAAGTTCCACTGGTCCTCTGAAATGTTGTCCAGGTCTTGCTCCCATTTAGCTTTGCAGGGAAGTACAACAGTCTGTGCATGCGATTTAAGTAAGGTGATGTCAATCAGTGACATCATACAGAAACATATTTTGTTGAGCCTGCACTACTTGTCTAAATTGTCAATATTAATAAAAGCTCAGTTTTGGGATCTGGAACTAATTTTAAAGTTGGTGAAAGGATTAAAAGGAGCTGTTATCAAATATATGGTAGACATGAGTTATTCCTGAAGCCTGCCACGCTGCACACGTTCCTAGTTTAGAGATTTCCATTAGACTAACATTATCCCAGAGTGGGTATGTTTAGTGTATCCTGTATAGAGCAGAAGAGTCTTCACTAAATTCTAAACTCAATGTACTAAGATCAAAGTGGGGGATGTTTTAAGACCAGAGAACCCCTGTGACTCTAAAGCAGGGGTTAAGGAATCCTGCCCCGATATTTGTAACATAAGAACATGTGCAGGGTCACCATAATCAAGTTAGTTGAGCCTGCCAGATGTTGTAGTTGGGCCACTACAAAATAAAACCACATGTCGGTGAGTTACAAGGCTCCTGCCTCTAAAGAATGTTGCAAGACATCTATCTTAATCCCAGCTTGTCCCTGTTTTCATATCAAATTCCCTGAACAGAGTATTCAAAATTTGAAAGCATTGTTTGGGCAAGCAGATAGGAGCATTTTGAAAAACATAGAGCAGCTCGGGTAGCCAGATCATTTTAACTAGATTTATTCATCCCACCACTGACAAGAGCAGCTTACACCAGCTTCTGCCCTTCATGCAAAGCCTGCCAATCAAGTGCTGAAGGTTTAAAGCGGACATTTACCCCCTTTCACTAAAAATCCCCTCAGCATGCAGGACCCCTGAGATAATGTGCATGGTCATACATTCTAGTTAAATGTGCCAGATTTCCAGGAAGTAAATGGTGAGATACATTGATCTGCCATTATTAAAAATGGCCACTGTGAGAAGAACGGGGAGGAAAAGAAAAATAAGGTTTGCAAAGAATGAAAAGCCTGCAATTATCTAAAAGTATGTGTTTGTAGATTGCCATTACT